AGACCTCGGAAATCATCAAGTCCAACCTTTGTCCTAGCACCACCACATTGGTCAGACCCTGGCACTAAGTGCCATATCCAGTCTCTTCCTTGCAGCTGATCTCCATTCTCTGGTTTGTGTTGGTGTTGGAAGAAAAGTGATCACCTTTGAATGTTATACCTTCATTTATTTTGGGGAGACACAGGAAAAGAGTACGACAGAATTGGGAATGGTTGGAGAATAGAAAAGTTGACAGTGCATCAGTGCTTGGATGTGTTAAGGATGCCAGAAAGCAAGTCAGGCCTTGTGTTGTTTCCAATTCTCCTGCAGAAATCCCAGGAACCAGCCCTTGTTTTCCCCTCCTGTCTTCACCTTCCCCAGGAGTTTGATTCCTGGTACTTTTCCTGGCAAAATCAGAGCAGAAATAAGGATCCTCGTCACCGTGTTGCACTCAACCCCTTTTTTAAGAGGTGTGTGGGCTGGTGGGTCCTGGATCCCATCACAGAGTCACAGAATTGTTACGCTTGGAAAAGACCTCTGAGATCACCAAGTCCAGTCGTCCACCCAAGGAGGAGTAAAAAACCAACCAAACAAAACCCCCACACAAGACAATCAACCAAGCAACACCACAACGACACCCACCATGCCCACTAGAGCATGTCCTTAAGTGCCAGATCTACATGTTTCTTGGTGACTCCACCACCTCCCTGGGCAGGCTATTCCAGTGCCTGACTATTCTTTTGGTGAAGTTCTTCCTAATATCAAGTCTGAACCTCCCCTGACCCAACTTCAGGCCATTTCCTCTAGTCCTATCATTATTCACTTGAGAGAAGAGGCCAATGCCCATCTCACTACAACCTCCTTTCAAGTAGTTGTAATGAGGTCTCCCCTCAGCCTTCTTTTCTCCAGGCTAAACACCCCTAGTTCCTTCAGCTTCTCCTGATAGGATTTTTTCTCTAGGCCCTTCACCAGCTTGGTTGCTTTTCTCTGGACACACCCCAACAACTCAATATCCTCCTTGTAGTGAGAGGTCCAGAACTGAACCCAGTACTCAAAGTGTGGCCACACCAACGCTCACCATCTACTCAGAGCACCCTAGCAAGAGGTTTTGGCAGCAAATTGCCCCTCTCAAGGTCAGCACTGGACTTTACACTGGTGTTTTTGTTTTTTTTTCCATGGGCACAGGAGGTCCAAGCAGTGTCTGGGGGGGATCCACAGTTCCCAATAAAGCACTAACCTCAGCAGTGCCCGTTGTGCTGGGCAGGGCCTGCAAGTCCTGGCTGATAAATGATGCTCATATCCCGTTCAAATATGATGCGAGCAGTTTGTGATGGTTTGTTGTTTGGTTGTTTTATTTTTGGGGGGGGGGAGAGGAGGAGGAGGGGGCTGTTGGATTGCGTTGTTGGTTGTTTTTTTTTTTGTAGTTTGCCTTCCATTGCGGTAGTAAAGTTTTTAATTAGGAAAGCTAATGAGATCGATTAGTCATTAGAACTGACCTCTGGATCTCCGGGAGGAACGTGCGCGTGTGCGCGGGGCTGATAACGGGGGACGCTGGGGTATTGTTTGTAATAAAAGCCTAAAGTGTTTGATTTGAGTGAAACGTGCCACGGGGAATACATCATGCGGAGGAGAAAAAATTACAACCCTGGGAGCCTGTAATGAAGGGAATTAAACCAACATCCTATCTAAATAACATGATTATCTACACAAAACCCCTCAGCTAGCAAGTAATAATAGAAAACGGAGCTCTTCGGAGAGGCTCTTTCAGGAGGTGGTTAATGCTGGAGCCCTGAGCACAGGCACTTTGAGAAGAGCAGCTCCAGCATGAATACACCATCCAATTACTGCTGGGGAATAGAGTTTACCAGGTGCCAGCCCGTCTGTGCGAGGAGGAGGAGGAGGAGGAAGGGGGGGATGCCTGCAAGCTGCAACAATTTGGGACCTCGATTTCTTGTGCGAGCGTGAGGCGGGGGACGATGTCACGCGGGGGGTTGGATGAGGTTCTGGGTTGATTAGTGGCAGCCTGAGCTTGCTCAGGGCACAAAACCCACTGTTAATCATGGCTTCGATGAATTCCCAGCTTAATAATGTTGTAAGGTCGGAGTGGTGGTGGGAAGGGGTCAACTGGTGGTGTTGGTGTTGGGAGGATGTGGGATTGTGGTTCTCATTCTTCCCCTGCTGTGAAGATGATGCTGTGGGCATGTGGTGGATGTCATGTACTGCAGAGAGGCTGGATGTGTCCCCATCTCCTAGGTGGCCAGGGGGTTTTGTATCAAAGAATGATGGAATGGTTTGGGTTGAAAGGCACCTCAGAGCTCATCTTGTTCCAACCCCCCCTGCCATGGGCAGGGACACCTCCCACCAGCCCAGGCTACTCCAAGCCCCATCCAACCTGGCCCTGAACACCTCCAGGGATGGGGCAGCCATGGCTTCTCTGGGCAACCTGGACCAATATTTTACCACCCTCATTGTAAAAAATTCCTTCCTAAGATCTAGTCTAAATCTCCCCTCTTTCAATTTAAAACCATCACCCCTTATCCTATCACTTCAGGCCCTGCTAAAAAAGTTTGTCCCCCTCTTTCTTTTAAACCTGATTTAAGTATTGAAAGGCTGCAAGAAGGTCTCCCTGGAGCCTTCTCTTCTCCAGGCTGAACGCCAAGTCTCTTAGCCTGGCTCCAGAGCAGAGCTGCTCCAGCCCTTGGACCATATCTGTGACCTCCTTTGGGCCTGCTCAAGCAGATCCATGACTTTGGAGACTCCAGAGCTGGATGCAGGGGGATTTAATGGGAGTGGAGCAGAGGGACAGAATCACCTCTCTCACCCTGCTGGTCATGCTGCTTTGGATGCAGTCAGGGACACAGTGGGCTTTTTGGGCTGCAGGTTTCCTTTGTGTCACCCACCAGTATCCCAAAGTTCTTCCCTGCAGGCTGCTCTCCATCCATCCATCCATCCATCCATCCATCCATCCATCCATCCATCCATCTCCCAGAATGTGCTGATACTGGGAATTGCCTCAACCCAGATGGAGGATCTTGCCCTTTGCCTCATTGAACTTCACAAGCTTCACATGGACTCCCAAAACATCTGGTTTTACTTGGATTTCTCGTAATTTTTATAACAAATCACCAGAACCTCTTAAAGTTACTGGCATGAACTTCCTGGCTTGTCAGTTTGTTCAACATTTACTGGTTGACTTCACAGAAACTTACTTGGAGCACATTTTGGGTAGCTCTGCTGGTTTCATTGGTGCTCTGTGGGTAACAGCAGCGTGCCGGCCTGGAAAGCACCATCCAAAGTCTGCTGCTCACTGCCACGCTGCAGAAAGGAATCTGCACATATTTTGAGGCATTGATTAAGCAGGGGTCCTGCACAGGGGTGTAAAAGAGTCTTAAAATTACACTTTGGTGGGAGGATCTGGCTTTGTGCACGGGGCAAAGAGGGGTTGGAGGTCCCATGTCCTGCGACACGGGCAGGCGCGATGCCGAGGTAGAGCTGGCTGGGCTATTGATGCCCAAGCACCTTCCAAATTTTATTGCAGCCATATAAAAGAGATGATTTGTGTGGTGTCGTGAGGGTGCTCAGGGCTTTCTAGGTGGGTTTGAAGGCTGTGAATTCCCCTGTATGCTCCTGGCTCTGTGAGCATTTACCTTACAGGACAGTATCGGGGAGCGTTGGAATCATCTTTATTATGACAAATTCCAGTGATTTCTCTGTCGTGGCAGAGCCTGCTCTTCTTCTTCCCTCTCACCCCATCAGAAGTTCATAGAATCACAGAATCACAGAATCCTAGGGGTTGGAAGGGACCTGGAAAGATCACCCAGTCCAGCCCCCCTGCCAGAGCAGGGTCACCCAGAGCACATCACACAGGAACGTGTCCAGGGGGGTTGGAATGTCTCCAGTGAAGGAGACTCCACAGCCTCTCTGGGCAGCCTGTCCCAGGGCTCTGTCACTCTCACAGGAAAGAAGTTCTTCCTGAGATTCCCATGGAACCTCCTGTGCTCCAGTTTGCACCCATTGCCCCTTGTCCTATCACTGGACATCACTGAACAAAGCCTGGCTCTGTCCTCCTGACACTCACCAAGTACAAACCCTCTGGCTGAGTTTGGGAGTGGAAATTCATGCTATGGGCTTCCTGATCCCTGCTGAATCCAACACGAGACCCCTTGGCTTGCTTGGGAATGCACAAGGAGGAAAACATTCTCCATATCAAACAGTAAAGCTGTGGGTTGCTATTACCAGTGCTGCAGGGAGATGGGGAACCTGCTCCCCCACTCTGATCCCTCCAAGATTGGCTTTAAAATACATCTCCCTATTTTCTTGTTTCAACATAAATCTAGCATCCTGGGATTACCATTTTACCTGGGAAACAACTTCATTTTCCTTGCTCTCCCAAAGCCCAACTTTGGGGATGGGTACAACATTTTCAGGGGGAATAATGATTTTGTTTTTCCCCCTCTCAACCTTGCAATAATTTTAATTAGAGTATCTCCAAGAAAAAAAACAGCTGGCCCTTTAAATCAGTTATAAAACCAGAAGACCTAGTCTCAGCATGTAATGTCAGCTTTAATTATCTGGGCAGTTATAGCTGGATGTTATAAAAGTCGGGCAATTAGATGCATTCCTTAAAGCTGTGAAAGAAATTTGCTCTCTATCAAGTGGAGGAAAACCAGAGTCAAACATAGAACTTAATTGCATGAAGCATTCAGCAGAAGAAACAGGCATGTAGATCATCCTGCAAAAGATGATGAGGACAGGAGTGGTTCAATGCATTGCTGGGGATCAAGGTAGTGTTGGTGAATCCACGATTCACCTGGTAGAGTTTTGCTGTTGGACTGGTCAAGCCAAACACCCCCAAGCCCACCAGAGCCTTTCTGTTGCCATCAACCATGGTGGTCCCACGCGTAACCCATCTGGTGGGTGTTTTCAGGTGCTAAAGAGTTGGGTTTAGGAGCTACATTGGTGAGATCCCTCCCATGCACACCTGAATTTCAAGCTCTTTTCTCCCATTTGCTTTCTCCTAGGACCCAACTTGCACTTCCTAAGGAGCCCCCCAGGCAACAAAGTGATAAAAACACGCTACAGGATAGTGAAGAAGAACGTGGTGTCTCCAGCCTTATCATCCTTCAGCAGCCCCATTCCCAGCTGGAAGACAAGGCGCCCTGTGACATCCAGGTAATTCTTCCATCCTTTGTATGGTTGGGATGTGGGAACTGAGGGAACTCCCACGTTGGCTCCATTTTATTCCCATTGCATGTTCCTCGCTTAATTTCTCTATTTGTTTAGCTGCTTCTGGGCAGAGTTGATTGACTTAAAGTGTAAAATCTTGTTAGTAATCGTGTTAGCCCGAGTCGGTGGCCAGCAGCTTTACCACAGGCTGGGGTTTCATCTTTGTTCCCTGTTTGAATTGTTTCCATGAAGCAGTGGAAAGCTGGTAGAAGATGAATAAACACACACAGAGTCCTCAGGAAACTTCACTGCTTGTTTGGAGGCTCAACGTGGCCTTTGAATGAGACGTGGTCAAGCCTGTTAATCAGCCCTTCCCTCTGCTTCAGAGGATTATTGTGCATGTTGGTGCTAGGGAAGAGCTTTTTGGAAGTGTGTTGGAGGGAGATGCCCCAGCTGTACAGCAGGAGGCAGGTGCAGGCACAAACCTGCTTCTTTCTAGAGCATCAGCCCAGCCCTGTAGCATGTTATTTGTCTGAAGAAGGGGTCACCAAAGGATGGTGCCCTGCCCTTGAATCTGAATCTCAATCAGCTGTGCTGATGTCCATATTTCAGCTGCAGCCACATTAGGTGGTGGAGATGTTACCAAGGAACATTTCAGAGGCCAAGACAAAGTCAGGAGGTTGTGTATGAGCAGGAAGGTCGTTATGGGAGTCAATGCTCTAAAAAAAGTTGTTATTAGAAGTAGTGCTTTTGGATAGAAACCAGATTCTGGCTATTTAGGTTGAGAATGACTTCTCCTTCTCCTGAAATAATGTTTGGCCACTGTCAAGGGCAATATTATGGGCAAAGAGAACCTGCTGTGCTATCAGAGTGTTTGTTTTATCTGGAGAAAAAGAGGCTGAGGGGAGACCGTGTCACTCTCTGCAGCTGCCTGAGAGGAGGTTGAAGTCAGTGGGGTTGGTCTCTTCTCCCAGAAAACAAGTGATAGACCAAGAGCAAATGGCCTCAAGTTGTGCCAGGGGAGGTTTAAACTGGATCTTGGGAAGAATTCTTTCCTGGAAAGGGTTGTCAGGCCCTTGCCCAGGCTGCCCAGGGTACAGGTGGAGTCCCCATCCCTGGAGGGATTTCAAAGCCCTGGAGATGTGGTGCTGAGGGACATGGGGCAGTGGTGGCCTTGGCAGTGCTGGGTGAATGGTTGGACTGGGTGATATCAAAGGGCTTTTTCAACCAAAATGATTTTATGATGCTGTGATTCTATTGTTGATTCCAGAGTAGGAACCCTGAGGAGCAGGGGGATGCTATGGGCTGTTCCCCACCATCAGTTCCTCCAGTGGAGCAGTGACATGGGTCAGCATCAACATCCTGCTCTGGGTGGTTTCTTCCACCAGTTATTTCTCCAGGCAGTGCTTGACAACTTTTATGGTGGGTGCTGCAGAGAGACAAAGATTGTGGTGATTGTTTTTAGTCTCATTTTTCCTTTTTTTTCCCCTCTACTAAGTGAATTTGGGTTTGAGTTTCACAAATGTGTCTGAAGGGAGGGCTGGTTTTGGGAGACTCCAAAGTGATGAGGCAAAGTACCTGGTAAGCAGATTTAAAGAAATAGCTGTTTATTTCCAAACTATTTTAGAATATAAAATGAGGTCAATTATTTTGTGTTGTTTTTTTCAAGTTCTTTGTTGAGAAACTCCTCATTTCCTCATGCTACACTGGCCTCAAAGGGCTTCTTCTTGCATGGAAACTTTGGGATCCTTTTGGGCTAACAGCTGATTTTCACCTTATTTTTCTGCCATCAGTCTTACCTCCTTTTTCTCTTCCTTCTACTGTTGCCTTTAATACCCCCCACCTCCACATCATTCCCTTTTATCCTGAGATCCACCCATCTCCTCTTACTGTCTCCCAAAAGCAGCTCATTTGCCTCCTCTGGTGAAATTACTGCTCCACTTGGAGGTGCCACCTCCACTGGCACATCCTTGGGGAAAACTTCTTGCATTTCCCTTGCCACAAACAAACCACATTTTAATTTTCTTGCTCCCTCATCCCACATCTGTGCTGATTCAGGGCAGTGTGTGAGTGTGCTTCTACCTGCCAGTGAGAGTTCCTGCTTGCTCAGGCTATGACAGAAAGCCAGACCATGAAATAGGTCCTGGTTGTGTTTCTTCTTTGGCCCCCAAAAGCAACTTTTAAAAAATGTTAATATGAATTTTTCGAAGTGTGGCTGTTGAATGTATGAACGTGTTGGGGTAAAATCTGAAGTTGTGTTGTGTCCAGTTCTGGGCTCCCCAGTTCAAGAGGGACAGGGATCTGCTTGAGAGAGTCCAGAGGAGGCTACAAGGATGATGAAAGGACTAGAACATCTGTCTGATGAGGAAAGGCTGAGAGACCTGGGGCTGTTCAGTCTAGAGAGGAGAAGACTGAGGGGGGTCCTAATTAATGTCTATAAATACATGAGGACATCAAGAAGGCAGGGACAAGCTCTTGTCACTTGTGCCCTTTGACAGGACGAGAGGCAATGGATTCAAACTGGAACACATGAAGTTCCATCTCAACATGAGGAGGAACTTGTTGCCTCTGAGGGTGACAGAGCCCTGGGACAGGCTGCCCAGAGAGGTTGTGGAGTCTCCTTCTCTGGACACTTTCCAGACCTGTCTGGATGCCTTTCTGAGTGATCTGTCCTAATTGTGTGTGTTTTTTGGTCCTCCTCTGGCAGAGGGGTTGGACTTGATGATCTTTGGAGGTCCCTTCCATCCCCTAATATTCTGTGATTCTGTGATTCTCAGAGGTTCATAATTTGCTGCTGGTAATTAAGGCTCCTGTTACTTTGCGTGCAAATGAAGATTTGTTTCTTGTGGTTTTTAATCTCCTTGTTCCTCCTGTGGTGTTTTTTTAATGCTGACTCTGGTTCTGGTGACTCCTGTAGCTACAGTTGCTGATGTGCAACTCAAATGGCCCCTCATGACTGTGTTTTTTATAATCCACATCAAAATGCATCTTGCCCATCCCCAGCTCTGTTAGCTGCTTTTTTTTTTGGCCCTGAACTTGTCTTTTTAAGCAAATCTTCCTCCTTTTATTTAGGTGGAAACAGCTGCTTCTTTCTTTTCCTGGTGCAGGCAGCCCTGTTCAAATAACCATCCTGCCCTGACTGCAAATCCTGCCTGTTTTTTGGAGAAAAGATAGAGTTTTGGTTTTTAGGTGGTGTGATGGTGAAATACTCTGTGAGGGATCTGGGCAAAACTGCTGCTTTAGTGTCTCTCTGCAGTAAATGTACCTCAGGTGGGACCTTGAAGGAGACAACATGAGCCAGGCAAGGCTCAGCCTGCTCTGTGGTCATTTGAGTTTTCTTTCTGGGAGGAGAACTTGTGTCTTGTAGCTGCTCTGTTGGTGGATTTGGTTTTGCAATTGCTTTCCCAGCTGGTCAGACATCATATCACTCTGGCTGGAAAAGACCTTCAAGGTCATCTAGTCCAACCACCACCCTAACTCTGCATCTTCCACCACTAAACCCTATTCCCTGGCACACATCTGTCTTTTTAGATGTCTCTAGGGATGGTGGCTCAACCACCTTCTTGGACAGCCTGGATCACCAAGTCCAACTCCCTTCCCAGAACAGCTCAACCCCAAAGTTCACAGCATCTCCCTGAGGGTGTTGTCCAAGTGGTTCTTGAGCATGATAATGTTTTTGCCACATGATGCTCCTGGTAGCAAGAATCATGGTGTCATACTGTGACAAGTCCTTGTCCAAAACTATGATGCTGTTGATGTAGGAGACCAACTCAAGAAACTCATTAGGGCATCAGTGGCAAGAGAGCAATGAGGGGCTTCTCATGGCCGTGTCAGATTTAATCTGCTGCCCCTTGGTGAAGTGCAGGTGCACATGTTTCATCTGGTGATGCCACCTTCCTGGAAGTGTTCAAGGTCAGGTTGGACAGGCTCTGAGCAACCTGATCCAGTTGAAGATTTCTCTGTCCATGACCGGGTGGTTGGACCAGATGACTGGTTAAAGGCCCCTTCCAACCCAAACCATTCTATGGTTCTATGAACTTCAGCCTTAGTTAACAGAAAACAACTTGTGCTCTGACTATTTGGCTCAAGTTCATCCTCCCCCAGGTTCTTACTCTGGATTGGGATGGTTGATGCGTTGAGAACCCACAGTGAGAGCTGGAGTGGAGAAGGAACTTTGAGCAGGGGCTTTGGGCAGGGTTAGACCAAGAGTCACTGGCTGCTGGGTGTTGGGTCTTGACCAACTGACTTGTGGAGGAATGAACTGATTTTGCTCCTGTGATTGGCTGAGGGCTCCCACTTGTAGAATAATTTTATCCATATTAATCTTTGACTTCATTAAATGATGTAGTTTAGATCTTACGGCTGTTTCAGACAAATCTGGATAAAATGCCATCAGCAAATTAAAACAATTATGCTTTAAAGAAGCAATAAATCTCTTACTCAGTCTCCCTATTACCTTCGTGGTTTGTGATCAATCATCTGGACTGTCTGGAGGAACCACATGGCAAATGCTTCTCCTACAGTTTTTATGACTATTATTTTTTTCCCTCCATCATTCTCAGCATCTTCTTGGACCTGTAACAAGCCAGGAGGTGGTTTCTTGTTGCTTTGCTTTGCTTTTGCCAAAAACCAGGCAACTTTGGGGGTGGTGGGACATGCTGAGCATCCCTTCACCACCGTTTTTGTCACCTCTTGACTTTTCTCTTTCAGTGTGCACTTGTTTTTCATCTCCTTTTCACCTGGTGAGGTTAGAAGGCTGGTGGTGCTGCAGTCAAGTGTTGCTTCCAAGTTGGGTTCTAGCTGATGCTCAGGGGAAGTTCCTACTATGAAGCCAAGGTTCTGGGGAGGCATTCAAAGTGATGGGCAAGGGTGTTGCATGGTCACCCAGTCATTCCAAATTTTGTATGTTGTGTCAATAAACTTCAGGCAGGAGCTGTGTTCTTGTCCATCTTATGATCATTTTAGAGATGCCAGTCTGTGTTCAGTGGTGCCTGTGACAGGACAAG